ATTTTTCTGCAGGTGGATATCCAGTTTTGCCAGCACCATTTGTTAAAGAGGCTGTCTCTTCCCCATTTAATGGGTTTTGGACCTTTGGCAAAGATCAGTTGTCCGTAGATGGATGGGACTATATCTGGACTTTTGATTCTGTTCCATTGGTCTATCTGTCTATCATTGTACCAATATCATGCTGTTTTGACTACTGTGGCTGTATAGTAGTTCTTAAGATCTGGGAATACTCAAGCTATTCCAGAGCATAGAAAAAGATGGAATACTCCCAAACTCATTTTATGAAGCAAGCATAACACTAAATACCAAAACCAGGGAAGCCACCACTAGAAAGGAAAACTACAGACCAATATCCCTCATGAACACAGATGTAAAAATCTTTAACAAAATCCTAGTCAACAGAATCCAACAAAATATCAAGAAATTAATACACCCGGACCAAGTGGGATTCATACCAGGTTTACAAGGGTGGTTCAACATCAGAAAAACAGTCAATGTAATCCACCACATAAACAAAACAAAACAAAAGAACCATATGATTATATCAATTGATGCAGAAAAGGCATTTGATAAAATCCAACATCCATTCCTGTTTAGAACTCTCAGCAAAATAGGGATAGAAGGGAAATTCCTCAACATAATAAAGGGTATATATATGCAAAGCCAATGGCCAACATCGCCATTAATGGAGAAAGACTCAAGGCATTCCCCTTATGAATGGGAACCAGACAGGGATGCCCTCTATCACCACTTCTATTTAACGTTGTATTGGAAGTCCTGGCCAGAACAATAATGCAAGAAATAGAAATAAAAGGCATGCAAATTGGTAAAGAGGAACTAAAACTATCTCTATTCGCAGATGATATGATCCTGTACATAGAACACCCAAGGGACTCAATAAAAAAACTACTGGAACTAATAGAGAGGTTCAGCAAAGTGGCAGAATACAAGGTCAACATACAAAAATCAGTTGGATTCCTCTACAAAGAAACTCCTGGAAAAGAAATAAGGAAACAATACCATTTACAATAGCTACCAAAAAGGTAAAATGTCTAGGAATAAACCTCACCAGAGATACAAAAGACCTATACAAAGAAAATTATAAAACATTGCTACAAGAGACAACAAGGGCACTACATAAATGGAAGAACCTACCTCGTTCATGGACAGGTAGACTGAATATTGTGAAAATGTCAATACTACCTAAAGCACTTTATACATTTAATGCAATCCTGATCCAGATTCCAACAAAATTTTTTAAGGGCATGGAAAACCCAATTACTAATTTCATATGGAAAGGAAAGAGACCTCAGATAAGCAGAGCACTTCTCAAGAAGAAAAACAAAGTGGGAGGTCTCACACTCCCAGACCTAATACTAGTTCTTGTTTTGTAAATGGTTCACATTGTTTGCCCATTTATCTAGTGAATTTTAATGTTTTTCTTAAGAATTTTATTAGCATTTTTATACAATACATATGTTAACCCATTTCATATTTTCACAGATATTTTTCCCATGTGCTTTGCCGTCTCATTTGGTTAAAGGGTTTTTAAACATGTTTTTGCCGTTTTATGGACAAATTTTTAACTTAGTGTTCTGGTTACCTAGTCCTGCTGAACAACGACACGGCTATATGCAGGGTTCAAGGTGCCAAAAGCTGGAGACCATTCCCAAAGCTGCTTCTTATATACAGGAAGCAGACCACAGACCCAAAGCAGCTACTCAGCTGCTTGGGGTAGATCCCACCATGGAGCTGATTGCCAGTCTCATCACGGGGAATAACCACCACCAGCTGCCCAGCCAGTCAACCAGGCCCAGCCAAGTTGACACAAACATAACCACCACACTTATCAAACCTCTTCAACTTTTTCTCTGTGATGTCCCCATCATGGCATCCCACTTCTACAAATGTGACACTCAGCTTTGCTTTCTTGTTTTCCTGAGGTTTCATTATTTTATATTCTGTACACTATCTGGAATTTGATGCTTTGTGCTTATTGTATCTAAATTAGTTTTAAAATTACGACTCTTTGCTCTACCAGCATTTTATTAAATAATCCTTCTCTTCCCCAGGGATTAAAAGCTCTTCCCCTTAAATTAAAAGCTTTCTTGAAGGTTAGGGGTAGTCTGGGTGGTCTGTTGGTTCAATGACATAACTTTTTATCTTGGCTCAGACCACCTTGTTTTAATACCACTGTTTTATGGTAACTTCAGTATCTGGGAGCACCAATTCTCCTTTCAGATCCCTTTTCCAGTGTTTTTCTTTGATATTCTAACCTATTGTTCTACTAAATGTAATTTAAAGTCATTTTGCCAAATCTGCTTCACTCGTATCGAAAATGATTGTTTTTAAATCTGAGGATTATGCTGAAGCTGAGTGTAGTGCAGGCCCTTCTGATGGGGCTGAATTTCATGCTAAATGTGTTATGCTTCTCTGTTCTGTGTAGGAAATAAGTCTTTACGATGGAAAATATGGGGAGATTAAAAGTAAGCTGGCTTATCACCCACAAATGACTGCTGCTGACAGGTCAATGTGGACCCTTCCAGTCTGTCCCTGTGTTAACCCTTCCCAGTCTGTGGGGGTACAGCTGCAGCTTCCCTCCTGTTTCCTTGGCCTGTTTGTCCTCAGCTCGAAGACCAGGGGACTCTGTGCTGAGGACCCCAGTGCTCCATCCGCTCCACCTGCAGGGAGCCAGGCCCAGTAAGTGAGAGTGCAGGGAGGGCCATCTTGGTGAAGGTGCCCTCGGGCCGCTGAGGTCATGTCCTTGGAGCTGGTAGTCTTTGTAACACTGCTGCTGGAGAATGAGAGCAGGGGAGAGGAACTGGGGCTTGAGGGATTTAAGGGTGGTACCCAGCAGCCACTCGGTGGATGGAAGACAGGGCAATCTAATTCTGTAAAGATTTACTGCCTTGGAAGCCCAATGGGGTCGCTATGAGCCGGAATCTATTGATTGCAGTGGGTTTGGTTGGGTTTTGCTCTCAGGATGTAGTTCATTGGCCCCACCACCAAATATGTTATCAGTGAAGATGGTGGCTTGGAAGAAAGGAATCATAGGAAAGACCTGCCTTCTGTGTCACTGAAGCTGGCTAAGTCAGTTATTCACTAAACTGATAGGATACCACTGGGCTCTAGCCTAGGGGGGCTCCCCACTTATTAAAACAAACAAACAAATGAACCCACTGCCATGAGTTGATTCCAACTCATAGCGACCCTGTAGGACGGAGTAGACCTGCTCCATAAGGTTTCCAAGGCTGTAGATCTGCACAGAAGCAGACTGCCTCATCTTTCTCCTGTGGAGCACCTGGTGGTTTCAAACCACCAAGCTTTTGGTTAACAGCTACATGCTTTAACCACTACACCACCAGAGTTCCCACTTCCTTAAGAAGCCTGGGCACTCTTACAGGTGTGGTATCCTGGCATGCCTCTTTTAGGGCAGGCTTTGCGATGGACTCAGCACCCCGCATGACTAGCCAGATGTCGTAGCCAACATGCCTTGCTAGACTCAGTCACCCCCCCAAAAGCATGCCTACCTACACTCAGTCCCCACCCCCACCAGCATGTCTACCTACACTCAGTCCCCACCCCCATCAGCATGTCTACCTAGACTCAGTCCCCACCCCCACCAGCATGTCTACCTAGACTCAGT